CGATCTTCTGACTCAGAGACAAGAGTGCCACGTAAACTATCTCTGACAATAATTTATCATTATTTCTGTCATTTAGATTCATTCATTTTCAGAGGGGTTAAGTCCCAAGGCTGTGTATAGAAAGTTTCTCCCCCTGTATACCGGCAGCCTGAAGGTTTGATTTGGTTTAAAGTTGTAACAACTTAGAGCTGCAGGTGTCAATGTTGTCTTTGTGTCTGGGTTCCTGAGGCTGTAAAGCGCCTGGGATCAGTTGGAATGGACATCTTAAGGGATTGTCTTCAATCAGTGCGGCTGATGGACCATTCTGCTTTCATCCACTTAATAAAGTTCTATTGTTTAGACACAGTTTGAACACTGTGACAGCAATAAAACTTGAGGAATAACCCACTCTTTCCAGGAAAGCTCTGTGTTGGTTTTGGTGAGGATTTTGAGCTTGTTTTCAAATCCCTGCATGACCTCACCTCTCCCTATCTCTATAATCTCTTCCACTCCTCAGTAGTGCCCTGGAATGTCGGCCTGATTAGCTGTGTTCAAGTCCTGGAGTGAGACTTGAACCCACAAGTCTCTAACTCAGAGAACAAAGTGATGGGTTCCAGTTTAACTCCAGATGAATTATTCCATGAACATTGGTTAGCTTCATTGTCAGGGCTCAAAGCTACCTGTCCAAACCCTCCTACAATTTATTGAAACCCAAACATATTGTGAAATGAATGAGGAAATTATCCAGTCAATGTTTACACTCCATCTGTCATGAAGCTAATCACAGACCAGCGTCACCCTTAAATAAAATTGCTTCCATTGGTCATATAGGTTAGTGGGATGTTGAAGAACTGTTTTAGGCTTACACGTGGGTGAATCACAGTAATCTTCCCTGAGAAAGAATGGCCAAAATCATCTGAATGTATTGCACGTTGAACAATATCACTCAAACATGCTCATTCTGGGACAGCCCACGATAGCAACCGAGAGAGGTTAAATGGACTGGGACATCCCGGCAGAGGTGAATAGTCCAGAATATCATGTGAGAGGAACCAGACCTGGTGAAAGTTGAACGTCAGAAAGTTGTACATACACAGGAGGTAACAGACTATGGATGGGGCAAGGCTGTCAGACATCAACTCAAGGGGTATTGACACACACAATGAGGTCCACCTCACTTCCTGAGTCAACTTGCAGGTCTTAGAGACATTTGGTTGTTGGGAATGCATGTATACATTTATAGACTACATGGATAAAATGACAGGAAGGTATTGGATTGTTTGGACACTTCCTGGAATATTTCCTTCTGTGCTGATGCTTGACAGCAAATGTGGTTGGGTTTGACCTCTGCTTCCAAAACCTAGGGGGGCCAGAGAAGCGAAGCGGCAGAAAGGATCAGAAGGCTGCAGCACCTCTGTCTCTTTCTCCTGGTTGTAACTTAGAAACTTGAGAAGGCCAACACAATATTGTTACAATCTGGCAAACCCTGAGAAGGTGAGCTGTGACAACTTTGACAGATTAGGAGAGCTTTAATAGACCCTTCACCAATATATGGCTATCAGCAATTTGATTTTGTCAGCAAGAAGCTCAGTGGACTGTGAGCAGTCATTGACCTCTATCCTTTGTTTTACAAAACATTGGTGAAGAAGATAATTTTTCCATCTGTTTTTCACACAAAATGTCATCTCTGCAAACTTGCTGTCTTGTATGCGTGTTTGAGATTAGAAGGGATTTGGGATACTTCTGGATTACCACCTTAGATGTTGTCTAATTTTGCCACTTGAATTTAGGTGCTATCATGAAAACATTATATTGAGTTTGTTGAAGTAGTCTAGTGAAAGTCTCTCTTATTGTAGTTAGCAAAGAAAAACAATCTGGTGACTGAATTTAAATACTGATACAGATGGTGTGACTGTGGAGCAATGGGACTTGATTATCAGTGCATTCCGCCCATTATAGTCACAATACAGTGAAACTCCTATTTCCATCCCTTATTTGTGGCTCTCTCCCAACCAGTTCTTTCAGTGTCCCCTCCCTCCTGTACATGTACTGATCCTATCGCTGCACATCATCACTGCTTTGGAAGCTGTGGGTCTTCCTCTTCTGATCTGCTGTCAAACACATCTAAGGATACACATCCTACACTGATGATGTCAGTTTGAAAGCCTCCAAGGATGAAGAATGAGATTCCCACACTAGAAATCTCTGTCAAACATTTACCAGGGGAACTGAGACAGCAGCTGCAATAAGTAAGGTTTTATTCAGATGGGATAATGGCATGTTTTAAATCTCCACCTGACCTGCTGCTCAAAGTCACCTCCATTTCATCAGTCAGTTTCCCAAGCTTCAGAGAAGTCAAAAGCCTCCTCTCCCCATCCCGTGGACTCCTTCACCTGCCTCCAACACTCTCCCTCCTCCTGGACTCCTCCCTCTGGCCCTTTACCTGTGCTCGAACTGTTCATTGAGAACTGTCAACATGACATTGGTTGCTTCAAATTTCTCTGCCACCTTCTCCCCTCCTCCCTCATCCATGTGAGCCTATCTCCCTCCGAGCTCACTGCACTTCTTGCTCTCAGATCCAATCCCGACTTTGTAATTAATCCTGCCGACAAGAGTGGTGCTGTTCCTGTTTGGTGTACCAACCTCTGCAATGTGGAGGCTGATCGTTAGCTGTTGGACATCTTCTCCTATCTCCTCCTGGACCATGACCCCATCATTGAACATCAGGCTATTGTGTCCAGAACATCACTAATCTCATTTCGTTTGGGGATCACCCCCAGTGCTTCCAAGCCCATGGTTCCTCAACCTCAGACAGTCTCCTTCTCAAAATCCACAAACAGGTCTGCTGGGCAGATCCTTCATTTCTGCCATCTCCTGCCCCATAGAACTCATCTCTCCCTACATTGACTCGATTTTTTCTCCCCTTGTCCAGTCCTTTCCTACTTCCATCTGCGATTATTCTGATGCTTTATATCAGTTTCAGAATTTCCAGTTCACACCTACCAGCCGCCTCCTCTTTACCATGGACACACAATCCCGTTACACATCAATACCCCATCAGGATGGTCTCAGTGCTCTCCACTTCTTCCTGGAAAGAAGTCCTGAACTGCCCTCATTTACCACCAGCCTCCTCTGCCTCGCTGAGTTTGACCTCATTGATGAGCAACTTCTCTTTTAACTCCTCTCACTTTCTTCAGGTCAAAGGGGTGGCCATGAATACCCCCATGGGCCCCAGTTATGCCTGTCTCTTTGTGGGGTACATGGAACATTTCTTGTTCCAGTCCTACTCCAGCCCCCACCCATAACTCTCTCTATCGATGACATCATCAGTGCTGCTTCCCTTTCTTGTCCAGAATTGGAAAAGTTTATCAATTTCACTTCCAATTTCCACCCTGCTCTCACCTTCATCTGGTTCATCCCGGACTCTTCTCTTCCCTTCCTCAACATCTCTGTCTCCATTTCTGGGAACAGGCTGGCCACCAATATTGACTATAAATCCATTGACTCCTACATTTACCTTGACTGTACATCCTCACACCCGGTAAAGAATCTATTCCATTCTCCTAGTTCCTCCATCTCTGTTCCAATGTTACCAGCTTTTACAAGGGGTGTCAAAATGTCCACCCTCTTCCTCAATCGAGCATTCCTGAACACCGTGGTTGACAGGGCCCCTAACTGTATCCAAGCTATCTCCCGCACTTTGGCTCTCACCCCTTTTCTTCCCTCCCACAACAGCGATCCTCACTTACCACCCCATAACAGCCACATCCAAAGGAGCAGTTTACATTTCCACCATCTCCAGCAGGATGCCACCACTGGACACATATTCCCCCTTCCTTTCTTGTCAGTCTTCCCCAGAGACCATTCCTTCTGAAACACCTGTTCCACTACTCTTCCACTCACAACACCTCCCCCCACACCTAAGACACCTTCCCATGCAATCACAGAAAGTGTAACACTTGACCATTTACTTTATCCCTCCTCACTACCCAAGGCTCCAGACACACCTTCCAGGTGAAGCAGTGATTTATCTGCACTTCATTCAATCTAGTCAACTGTATTTGTTTCTCACAATGTGGTCTCCTCTACATTGGGAAGATGAAACACAGCCTGGGTTACCGCTTTCAGAACACTTGTGCTCTGTCTGCAAAAATGGCCCTGAGCTTCCCATTGATTGCCATTTCAAAACACCTCTGTATTCTTTGGCCGACATCTCTGCCTCAGGCTTGCTGCAATAATCTGGAAGAACAGCATCTCATTTTCCGCTGGGGGGCCCTGCAGACTTCAGGACTCGAAATCGAGCTCAATACTTTTAGTGCCTGAGCACCTTGTCCCATGACTTAATCTCAATCCCAAACACCAGGCTTTGTCATCACATGGGCTGCCACCATAACCATCCCATTGACAGCTACTAATGGTCCCAATTAACAGCTATTGATTCTCCCAGGCTGACCTTTAACCATTCATTTGTGTCCAATTGTCGTTCTTTCACTCTGCACTTCATCTCCACGTATCGTTTACGCTTTCTTCCCCATCGTTTCATCTTCAGCCGATAGTGACAATTAGTTTCAAAGAAGGATCACTGGACCCGAAACATTAATTCTGCGTTCTCTCCACAGATACTGCCAGACCTAACGAGTTTCTCAGCAAACCTTGTTTTTGTTTTTGGAAACTCATGTTGCTGCAGAAATATTTGGATTGGCTGTGAGAGACGTCAATCAGAGAGCCCACCCACTCTGCCCATTCTCTCCTCTTCCTCTTCCAGAGCTGGTTCACTTCCTGTAGGGACTGAAAACCAAGTGAAGAGATAGTGAGTGAAGGAGCAGCTTTTATACAAATTGTATCCCATAATATCCACACCAATCTTCAGGCAGTCTGACTATCCTGTGGGTAATCAGGGGTGGAAATGTCCCTTATGCTGTGTGAGAAGATCCAGCTGAGAGAGCTGTTTACTCGGTGCTTTGTGCTGAACTGTTTGACTGGAGCTGTGTGTTGGATATTGAGTGTGTTTGTTGGAAGCATTTCCCTTCTGATTTCCAGGCTGAGTTTTGTTGATGGCTTATTCCTGAATATGAGAAGGTGAGGTGTCAGTATCTGGGAGGTGCAGAGTATGTGAGGATTCTTACCGATTTCCTGTTGTCAAATTTTGAGTGTGTTGGGAGCTGGTTTTTATCCTGTGAACTGTGAATGGTCAGTTATGTGGACGTGTACTTGGATGTTTCCGATCTCACCCACCCACGTTATCTCTGTAACCTCCTCGGTGAAGGAAATCGACTCGAGCACCTGGGATTGGAGTCACATGGAGACCAGGAGGTTGCAACACATTTCCTTCCTGAAGGACAATATTTGGGTCTTTAGGGGAAGCTGCAAGTTTTTATGTCTTTATTTTAACGCTTTTCCACAAATTCAAAAATGTATTAATTCATCTTCATAACATGGATTGGTGTGAAGAGCAGAGATGCCTTTGAGGGGAAACTGAATAAACACTATGGAGAGAGAAACTGAAAGATCTGCTGAAGATTTCTGAAGAAGGGTCTAGGCCCGAAACATCAGCTTTCCTGCTCCTCTGATGCTCCTTGGCCTGCTGTGTTCATCCAGCTCTTGTTATCTCAGATCTGCTGATATGGTGACAAGAAGAGGAGTGAGGGGAGACTCAGGTGATGTATAAACACAAACATGGAGCAAATGGCCTGTTTCTCTCTGCAATTAGAGTGAAAGGAACAAATAACAGTACAGCACAGGAACAGGCCCTTTGGCCCTCCAAGCCTGCACCGACACATTTTGCCCTTCCATACTAAAACTGTATTCACTTACAAGGTCCATATCCCTCTGTTCTCTTTCTATTCACATATTTGTCCAGGTGCTTCTTGAATGTTGCTATTGTGTCTGCTTCCACCACCTCCTCTGGCAACACGTTTCAGGCACTCACTGCCCTTTGTGTGAAAAATTAGCCTTGCACATGTCTTCTAAACTTTTCCCCCTTGCACCTTGAATCTGTGTCCTCCAGTAACTGACCCCTCCACCCTGGGAAAAAGCCTCATACTTTCCTCTCTCCATGCCGTTCACAATCTTGTAAACTTCTATCAGGTCGCCCCTTCAACCTCTTGTGTTCCAGTGAAAACAAATCCAGTCTGTCCAACCTTCTTAGCTCAAATCCACTGTACTACGCAACATCCTGGTAAACCTTTTCTGTACCCTCTCCAAAGTATCCACATCCTCCTGGCACAGTTCTGTACACAATATTCCAAATGTGGCCTAACTAAAGTTCAATAAAGCTGCAGCATAACTTGCCTATCCTTATACTCAATGCCCCTTCCGATGAAGGCAAGCATAAGTCTTTTTTTACTACCTTATCTACCTGCGCTACCATCAACGGATACAATAGATCAGGTTGGATGAAGTGCAGGTGAATTTCTGCCGGATCTGGAAGGATTGTTTGGAGCCTTAGATGGAGGTGAGAGGGGAGGTGTGAGGGCAGGTGTTGCACCTCTTGCTCAGGATAAACTAGTCTTCATTAAGGTGACGCAAGCTCATTGTGAATTTAGCATCAATTTTACACTCCACATGACTGGCTTTTTCATTGCCCACATGGTATTTGGGAAGATGGGGTTTTGTTGGAGGAAAGAAAGTAGCCACATTGTCTGCTTCTGGTCACTATCCAGTATCGCTGCTAGAAACAGAGCGTGGGGCGTGGTGGAAACGACCTATGAGGGGAACACCATAGCAGACAGGTCTCTGGCACTGAGCCTGGCCCTGTGGCACAGAAGGGAAGGGGGGGGAGAATAGGAGAGCAATTGTAGTGGGGGATTCAATAGTAAGAGGCACAGACAGGCGGTTCTGTGGACGCGAACAAGACGAACGGATGGTATGTTGCCTCCCAGGTGCCAGGGTCCAGACATCTCGGATTGTGTCTTCAAGATCCTGAAGGGGGAGGGTGAGCAACCAGCAGTCATGGTACACATCGGTACCAATGACATAGGTAGAAAAAGAACTGAGAACGTGAAAAACAAGTACAGGGAGTTAGGTTGGAAGCTGAAGTCCAGGATAAACAGGGTAGTTATCTCTGGATTACTACCAGTGCCACGTGATAACAAGCTAAGAAATAGGGGGAGAGTGCAGCTAAACACGTGGCTACAGGGCTGGTGTAGGAGGGAGGGCTTCCATTATGTGGATAATTGGAGCACATTCTGGGGAAGGTGGAACCTGTACAGTAAGGACGGGTTGCACCTGAACTGGAAGGGCACAAATATCCTGGGAGGGAGGTTTGCTCGAGCTATACAGGATGGTTTAAACTAGATTGGCAGGGGATGGGGATCTGGATTTATAATTCAGAGGATGAGGTATTCAGCCTTCCAACAGACACAACAGGGAGTGAGGTTGTTAATAAACAAATGCAGTCGATTGAGCATAATTGTGGACACGGATGGATTGAGGTGTGTACACTTCAATGCTAGAAGTATCAGAAATAAGGTGGATGAACTTAGAGCATGGGTCAGTACTTGGAACTACGATGTTGTGGCCGTTACAGAAACTTGGGTAACTCAGGGACAGGAATAGTTGTTGGAAGTTCCAGGATTTAGATGCTTTAAAAGAAATAGGGAGGGTGGTAAAACAGGTGGCGAAGTGGCATTGCTAGTCAGGGCGAGTATAGCAGCTACTGAAAGGCAGTTCGAGAATGATATGTCTACAGAGTCAGTTTGGGTTAAGGTCAGGAACAAGAAAACAGCAGTCACTTTGTTGGGTTTTTTTTTCAAACAGACCCCCTAGTAGTTGCAGAGAAGTGGAGAAGCGGATTGGAAGGCAGATACTGGAAAGGTGCAGAAGTCACAGGGTTGTAGTCATGGGTGACTTCAACTTTCCAAATATTGATTTGGAAACTTTTTAGTTGTAATAGTTGTAATAGCAGATTTTGTCCAGTGCGTTCAGGAAGGATTCCTGACACATTATGTACAACATGAGCAGAGGCCACTTTGGATTTGGTGCTTGGCAATGAACCAGGCCAAGTGATAGACCTGTTGGTCAGAGAGCATTTTGGCAGTAGCGATCATACCTCTGTTACTTTTACAATAGTCATGGAAAAGGATAGGTACATACAGCAGGGTAAGATTTATAATTGGAGGAAGGGTAACTATAATTCTGTTAGGCAAAAACTGGGTAACGCAAAATGGGAACAGATGCTGTCCGGGAAGAGTACTATAGAAATGTGGAGTTTGGTTAAGGAACGCATACTGCGTGTGATCAATATGTTTGTCCCTAGCAGGCAGGGAAGATGCGGTCGAGTGAGGGAGCCTTGGTTCTCAAGAGAGTTCGAACGACTAGTTAAGAGGAAGAAGGATGCTTATATAAGGTTTAGGAAACAAGGATCGGAAAAGGCTCTAGAGGGATACAAGTTATCCAGGAAGGAACTGAAGAAAGGGCTAAGGAGAGCTATAAGGGGGCATGAGAAAACCTTGGCAGATAGGATCAAGGAAAACTCCAAGGCTTTTTACACGTACGTGAGGAATAAGAGAATGACCAGAGAAAGGGTAGGGCCGATCGAGGATTGTAAAGGGAATTTGTGCACAGAGCCTAAAGAGATAGAGATCCTTAATGAATACTTTTCTTCGGTATTCACAATTGAGAGGGACCTAGTTGTAGGGGAGGACAGTGTGAAACAGGCTGGTAGGCTAGAGGAGGTGGATGTTAGTAAGGAAGATGTCCTAGGAATTTTGAGGAAGTTGAAGATAGATAAGTCCCCCGGGCCTGATGGGATTTATCCAAGGATTCTATGGGAAGCGAGGGAAGAGATCGCAGGGTCTTTGGCGATGATCTTTTCGTCCTCACTGTCCACGGGTGTGGTGCCGGAAGATTGGAAAGTGGCAGATGTCATTCCCTTGTTCAAAAAAGGGAATAGGGATAACCCAGGAAATTACAAGCCAGTTAGTTTTACTTCAGTGGTGGGCAAATTATTGGAAGGGGTTCTGAGAGATAGGATTTATGAACACTTGGATAGGCACAATTTGATTAGTGGTAGTCAGCATGGATTTGTGAGGGGTAGATCATGCCTCACAAACCTTATTGAATTCTTTGAAGAGGTGACCAAACACGTGGATGAAGGTAGAGCAGTGGACGTGGTATACATGGATTTAAATAAGGCATTTGATAAGGTTCCCCATGGTAGGCTCGTGCAGAAAGTAAGGAGGCACGGGGTAGGGGGAAATGTGGCAGATTGGATTCAGAATTGGCTGACCCTTAGAAGACAAAGGGTGGTAGTGGACAGAAAATATTCAACATAGTGCTCAGTTACAAGTGGTGTACCACAAGGATCTGTCCTGGGTCCTCTTCTATTTGTGATTTTTGTAAATGATTTGGACGAAGGAGTGGAAGGGTGGATTAGCAAGTTTGCGGACGATACGAAGGTGGGTCGCGTTGTGGACAGTGCGGAGGGCTGTTCTAGGTTACAAAGGGACATTGATAGGATGCAGAGCTGGGCTGAGAAGTGGCAGATGGAGTTTAACCCTGAAAAGTGTGAGGTGATTCATTTTGGAAGGACAAACTTGAAAGCAGAATACAGGGTTAACGGAAAAATTCTTGGCAGTGTGGAGGATCAGAGGGATCTTGGGGTTCATGTCCACAGTTCCCTGAAAGCTGCCACCCAGGTGGATAGAGTTGTTAAGAAGGCGTATGGTGTGTTAGCTTTCATTAATAGAGGGATTGAGTTCAAGCTCCAGCTACACTAAACCCTGGTTCGGCCACATCTGGAGTATTGTGTCCAGTTCTGGTTGCCTCATTACAGGAAAGCTTTGGAAAAGGTGCAGAGGAGATTTACCAAAATGTTGCCTGGAATGGAAGGAAGGTCTTACGAGGAAAGGTTGAGAGAGCTCGGGTTTTTCTCTTTAGAACGACGAAGGATGAGAGATGAGTTGATAGAGGTGTACAAAATGATCAGAGATATAGATGGAGTGGACAGCCAGAGACTTTTTCCTGGGGTGGAGGTAGCTATTGTGAGGGGGCACAGTTTTAAAGTGAGTGGAGATAGATATAGGGGAGACGTCAGAGGTAGGTTCTTTACTCAGTGGTCGGGGCGTGGAATGCATTGCTGGAGAGGGTAGTGGAGTCGGCTTCATTAGGGGCATTTAAGCAGCTATTAGATAGGCATATGGATGATAGTATAAAGTAGGGGTGGAGGTTAGAGAGACCTTAGGCTTAGGGTAAAAGTTCGGCACAACATCGTGGGCTGAAGGGCCTGTACTGTGCTGTACTGTTCTATGTTCTATGTTTCTTTTCTTGTTTTACAGAAGGATTGCACTGCAGCACACCAGAGAATACAGAGAGGATAGACACTGCAGATAGATCCTGACCATCACCCAAGGAACAACAACTGTGGGAAGACATCCAGTCCCTTCACAGCATTGCTCAGCACAGAGAAGGTTGGGCAGTGAAACCATCATCTGGAAACTCGTTGGGTCAGGGAAGCTTTGACATATTATCAGACCTGAACGTGATCAGCCTTTCCTGTGATCAGTTAGGTTGAGACTGTGAAGAAGTGAGAGTAGCTCTAAGTGTGGTGAGAGCTTCAGCATTTCATTGAGCCTCATTAACCAGTAACTCATTCCTGTATGTGATAGGCTGTTCAAGTGTGATTTGCATGAGGAGGACTGTGCAAGCTAATACAATCCCCTAACCCACAGTTTGTAGTACAATTGCCAACGAGTGCAGCTTCATGGAAGAGAAACAATTCAAGTGCGAGGCATTTGACTGATCTCTCTCACATTCATGAATTATCAACATATTCAGACTGGAATGAGGCCATTCAAATGTAGGGTGTGTGACAAATCATTCTCACGGTCATCAGCAGTCCTTGCACATCAACACACTCACACAGGGGAGAAACCATTCACGTGCAAGATGTGTATCAAATCATTCTCTGCTTTATCAAGCCTCGGTGTGCACCAACGCATTCACACAGGGGAAAAACCATATACATGTGAGGTGTGTGACAAATCATTCTCAGTTTCATTGAGGCTGTTGCTCCATCAGAGGACCCACACAGGGAAGAAACCATTCACGTGCAAGGTGTGCAGCAAGTCTTTCTCGCAGTCATCAACCCTACACATTCACACAGGGGAGAAACCATTTATGTGTAAGGTGTGTAACAAATCATTCTCCGCATCATCGGCTCTCCATGTTCACCAGCGCATTCATACGGGGGAGCAACCGTTCATGTGTGAGGTGTGTGATAAATCATTCACTGATTCATCAACCTTCCGCAGACACCAACGCATTCACACCGGGGAGAAACCCTTCACATACGAGGAGTGTGATAAATCATTCTCGAAGTCATCGACCCTCCAACTCCACTGGCGCATTCACACAGGGGAGAAACTGTTCGCATGTGAGATATGTGATAAATCGTTCTCTGATTCATCACATCTCCGCAGACACCAACGCATTCACACAGGGGAAAAACCGTTCACATGTAAGGTGTGTCACAAATCAATCACAAGGTCATCGTCCCTCCTCCAACACCAACGTACTCTCACAGGGGAGAAACCCTTCACACGTGAGGTGTGTGACAAATCATTCTCAAGGTCATCAAACCTCCTGCTCCATCACAAAGGAGTAACTTTTCAGATGTAAAGTGTGTGGCACATTATTCTTGAGATGATCGAACCTCTGCGCACACTGACGCACACATCACGGACAAATTATTTACTTATGTTGTGTGCAAGAAGTCAGGGTCCTCGGACATTCACGGTCTTCAAGGCATTCGCACAAGACAAACCATTCACGTTTGTGAGAAATCATTCTCAAGTTCATTCATCCTGCACAAACAGCAGAATGTTCATACAATATACTATACGTGAACTATACACATCTGAGATGTGTGACAAATCACCGTTGTTCGCGCATCCTATGTTCGTCAACATGTCAAAATGGAGAGAAACCATTCAAGGGTGGCACGTGAATAATCATACTCCTTGTCATCAAATTGTTGTTATCTGATTCATCAGAGAACCCACAGAGGGGAGTAACCATTTCAGAGTGAAATTTATGAGAAAAGTTTTGTCACTTTTGACTTTCCTAGGACATAGGAGAATTCACACAGAGAAGAAATGCTCCTGGTGCAATGTTTGTGACAAGGTTTTCAACAAACATCCATCACCTCCAAAAGCACCAACAGATCCCATTGGAGAAATCATCTAGGTATGAAGTGTGTGAAAAGACTTTCACAGAATCAGCCTCTCTCCTGGTATCTCAATACTTTCACGGGGAGAAACCAAATCAGTGTGAATTCTGTAATAAAGCCTCCCAGAACGTCACGTACACATAACAGGAGGTAGGAGCAGAAGCAGGCTATTCACCTGATCTTGTCTGCTCTGCTGTTCAATGAGATCATGGATGATCTGATAATCCTGAACTCTACTTTCCTGCCTTTTGGTATAACCCTCGATTCCCTTACTAATAGGCAGATATTCAATCTCAGCTTTGAAAATACTTAATTATACTGGGCACCCCTCTGTGGTAAAGAATTCTAGGTCCATGACCATCTGAGAGAAGAAATTCTTCCTAACTCTGTTTTAAATGTGTAAACATCATCCTGAGATTAAATCCTTCGGTCATAGACTCTCCCACAAGGGGAAAAGGACCTTTCTGCATCTATACTGTCAAGTCCCCTAACAACCTTGTATGTGTCAATAAGGTCACCTCTCATACTTTTCTAAACTCTAATGGGTACAGGCTCAACGTACTCAACCACTCCTCATGAGACAGTCTCTCTGTACTTAGGATCAACCTAGTGAACCTTCTCTGGACTATGTCTAGAAACATAGAAACAAAGAAGATAGGAACAGGAGATGGTCATTCGGCCCTTCAAGCTTGCTCCACCATTGATCATCCAACTCAACACCCTATTACTGCTTTCTCCACATAACCTTTTATCCCAATCGTCCCAAATGCTACATCTAGCTGCTTCTTGAATACATTAAATGCTTTGGCATCAACTACTTCCTATGGTAATGAACTCCAAAAGCTAACCACTGAGAGTGAAGAAATGTCTCCTCGTTTCCATCCTAAATGGTCTACCCTGAATCATCAGACTGTGACGTCTGGTTCTGGACACACCCACCATCAGGAACATCCTCCCTGCATCTACCCTGTCCAGTCCTTTTAGAATTTTGTAAGTCTCTACGAGATCCTCCCCTCATTCTTCTGAACTCCAGCAAAAACAATATTAACCTAGTCAATCTCTCCTCATATGTCAGTACCCCCCCCACCCCTGGAATCAGCCTGCTAAACCTTTGCTGCATTCCCGCAAGAGTAAAAGCATCCTTCCTCAGAAAAGGAGACCAAAACTGCACACAATATTCCAGGTGTGGCCTCACCAAGGCCCTGTAAAACTGCAACAATACCTCCCTGCTCCTGTGCTTGAAACCTCTCACAATGAAGGCTAACATACCATTTGCCTTCTTTACTGCCTGCTGCACCTGCATGCTTACCTTCAGCATCCCGTTGCACACTCCTCTCTACCAACCTACAGCCACTGTATCTAATGCCAGTGAATCTTTGTTTAGGCAAGGGGACCAATACTACTCATTGTATTCTGTTGTGGTCTGACTAATGCCTTGTAAGAGTATAAGGTCATAACACATAGGATTAGAAGTGCACCATTCAGCCCACTGAGCCTGCTCTGCTATTCAATGACATGATGACTAATTTGATAATCTTAAACCCAATTTTTCTGTCTTTTCCCCATAACTTTTGATTCCTTTGCTGGTTAAGTCTGTCTATCTCTGCCTTGACAATAATTAATGACTCAGCCTCAATAGTCTTCTGCAGTACTATTCTCCAAGAGAAGAAATTCTTCTTAGTTCTGTCTTAAATATGCAAACTCTTTAGTGAGATTATGTCTTCTGGTTCTTCAGTCTCCCACAAGAGGAAACAACCTTTCCACATCTATGTGTCAAGTCCTTGAAGAATCTTGTATGTTTCAATAAAGTCACTTGTCATTTTTCCATATTCCAACAAGTACAGGCCCAATTTACTCAACCTCTCCTCATAAGACCATGCCTCCATGCCTGGTAAGAGCCTAATGAACCTTCTCTGGACTGCCTCTAATGCCGGTATATCTTTCATTAGGTAAGGGATCAGAAACTGTTCACAGAATTCCAGCTGTCGCCTGACTGGTTCCCTGTATAGTTTTTTTGCAAAATATTCCTATTTTTATATTCCTTTCCCTTCTAAATTATAGCCAGCATTCCATTTGTCTTCCTCTACCTGCTGATCTTGTATTTTTCTCTTTTGTGATTTAGGCACAAGTACTCCCAAATCCCTGTACCCTGATGCTTTCTTCAGTCTTTCGCCATTTAACTAGGATTCAGCTCCTCAATTCTTCCTGCTAAAGTGCTTAACTTCACATTTTCCCACATTATATTCCATATACCAAGCTTTTGCCCACTTGCTTAATCTGTTTATACCTCTCTCTAGTCTCACTGGGCCATTTCAGCAAAATTGGGCCAATATTCACAAGTTTAGCAAAATGGTACACAAAGAACGTGAAGGGGTTTGCTAGGGTGGCTGCTGACAGATTCTTTCTGCTTGTCAGGAATTTAGGACACGGCAGTGTCAGGACAAGGAATTAATCATTTAGGATGGAGGTATGGAAAAATTACTTTGTTTGGGTTGTTGTTAAATTTTGGAATTCTTTGCCCCAGACAGTTGTAGATGGTCCATTACGAATATATTTAATGCTGAGGTTGACAAAAGTTTTAGACTCTCGGGGAAATTGAGTGATATGGGGAGCAGGATGGAAAGTGGAATTGAAGCGCAAGGTCAGCCTGATCCTGTTGAGCAGTGCAGCAGGATCAACCAACTATATGGTCTACTCCTTTTTCTAGTGTCATGCAAAAGGGCTCATCAATAAATCACACAGATCTAACACAGATATGCACAAGATAATCTTACAGTGGTGAAACACACCCTTAGAAAGCATGGAAAGTTGTCCAGTCCAGTAACTAATGACATGCCACACTGACTACTTTTCTAATAGATTAAAAAAAAAAGACCTGAAGTTGTAAAAGGAGTGAGTCATCAAAGTGAAATAACAGAAAATCAAATTACACTTCAATAAAGCCACCAAATTATTGCTAAAGTCAAGAATTGGAGAAAATACCAGCGTACAAACATTCAACACATCCAAGGAAAAGCTCAGAAAGGGCATGAGGGAGGTAGGAGAGAAACTAGAGAAAAATGCAAGTTCGGGGTTAGGGAAGGGGAGATGGGGATAACAATTTTTTTAAAAAAGTATTGGAAAGTAAAGGCTCTTTGTAGTGGACTGTTTCCAGAAATTGGCCAAATTCTTCCTCCCAGGTTTCCATAGGACCTTGAAAACCTGACAAAGAAATATCGACTGTTTTTTTACAATGTAGTAGCATGAAGAGAATCACAAAATTAATGCATCAATTAAGATATTTCACTGAAAGTTAAAATTCAGAATACATTAAATAAATCCAAAATTGAAACTTTGCCAAAAGCAAGCTCATAAACAACATGCAGGTAACATAAGGTGATTACAGATGACCAAGGACATGCAAAACACTGAAAAATATGTTTATCATGAGGCACAGATAGTTTTAAAATGCATTTTGAGCCTTCAATGAATCCATTCACATACAACCCACAACAAACAAAGGAAGTTGTTTTCATAAGTAATGTGGTTTTCCAAGTGACAATGAAATTACAGAAATTACCAGCTTTTCAATTAGATCAAATCAACAATCTTTGACATTGTAGACTTGAGGTCTGAATAAAGTCTCTTAAAGACTGAGATGAGACCCAAAAACCTATAAATTTATATTTGGATTTTAAATATACTTTTTGTAACATATTTGTTTGTATATCTGAATCTATTTCTAAATGGATTTCAAAATTGTAATATTTCTATCCAGAAGTCATTACATTAAATTTCTTTGTTAGTAAATGTATATTATCCACATTATTTCTAAATGTGTTCATTACTACAATGGTTATTTTTAGATGAATAGACTGTTTTAGTCATCCTAAATGACATAATATTGTAATCATTACAATAATGTAATCCAGGATTGAATCCTGTCATAAAGTGTTGTTAAGTAGTCATTGAAAATTGTACATTCACAAAGACCCTACTGAGGAAACAAATAAAAATATTCTCAAATTCTTACATTAGGATTCTATGCACTGACAATAGTTACCTCAAGTGAGGCATTTCATGTGTAGTGTACCTTCATATGGAGGTAAATTTGGCAGTCTCCCACAGCAGAGGTCATTTCACTTGACGACTAACTCTATTGCAAGTAATGTTGATTAAGTTTCAGTAATGATTTAAAATCTCTCTTAGTTGAGGTTTCAGTATAGCAATAAGTTCAACTGGATAAGTTAACTCTGCTGGGAATAAAGATATTAGAACCATAAAACAATGTCATCTTTGAATTGAGATACAGTTAATGAGCAGGAGGTGATGACTAAAGGTTTCCTAAAAGAGGTGGTATTTCAGGAAGGTATGAAATGAAAGGAGAGAGAGAAAATGATACAGACACGTTTACAGAGAGAATTAATAAGCATTGGCTCTGGATAGTGAGCAGACGGCTGTATTGGTGACAGTAAGGAAATGGGGTAGACATGTGAAATTTTTTTAGGAAGATCGTTCTCCAGGTGGAGTCCAAAAACACTGTCCAGCTGCAGCTCAATTTCCACAAGGATACATTTGATTTTGGGGAGGCAAAGTTGTGAGTTATCTTTTCAGAATAGTCTTTGAGTAATGAACAGGACGTCCATTTGTGATTGATGTGGTTCAGTCAGAACTGGCAATGGATAGATAAACCAGTTGTGTACCTGATTTCATCACTTGGCCTTGAGAAACAGTGATATCAACCTGGAAGGAAGTGTGTCAAGGTAATTTTGGGAACAGGGTGTAGAGATGGAATGGTTAAACCAGACTAAAATCTACAGGAACATAGTGGTGAATGGAGGGCCGACGGCAGACAATTGGGAGATGAGACTTATCCAACTCACCTGGAGGAAAGTGTGTCTTCCAGGAATGGAAACTGATTGCTCTTTGTTATCACCAGATCTCTGTAACCACTAGTGGGCTAGTATGATGAAAACGAGCTTCATCCTGTGTCACTAAAGTTTGGTGTCATTTCTGACCATCGGAATTGGGAACTAGACTATAGCACAAGGATTTTAAATAAACTTCTGTCCGTAATATTCTGAGTTTCACCTGATGTGAGTGTGTGTTAGTAAAGAAAGCCAACTCCCAGGAGGGGGTATGGGGCAGAATCAGACCCTGCTTTAGTTGGGATGTGAATTATAGAAAGTTTGTCTTCAGGTGACAGATGTTTGACTAATACCATGGGGAATGTCTGGGAAGACTACTATCCTGAGTATGGTGAGGGAGTCTGTACAGGAGTGAGGGAGTTCCCTCATCCCATCATACCGCATTGTACTAACAGTGTGATATGTTCATCTTATACTCACAGGTTAAATTATCAGAGGTCATCTCTCTCTGAATAACAGCCCTGTGGTCCTCTGGGACAGTGGAGACTTTACATAACTCTTCCAAGATTCATTTCATATTCTGTGAACAATTTCACTTCATTTTGAAAGTTTGGTTAATTGGTTGGATTTAAAGTTTTGGGTAAGCTGACTATTGCATTAATTGTGCTTTCATCAATTGTCAGTCTAGATTTATAACTCACAGTATAATTTTTTAAAATCTAAATCCAAACTCCCTGGTTTGTCATCATGGTGTGTTCCCAACTGCTGAAACTATTCCAGATCCTATGGTAAGAGTCCTGTACACAAAATATTAATCAATGTCACTCTGAGCTGGGATACTTTCTCTGTCAAGGGTTTTATAACTTCCAGTCCCTAGGAAGGTTTTGCATTTATAGAGCCATGGCATCATAGAGATACCAGTCAGCCCATCGAGCTGATGCTGGTTCTCCATACAGAAATACAGAGAAATTCCCTTGCTGTATTCTGGTTGCTGTCTAAATGTAGTTGCATCATGTGCCCATTTAACTTTCGTTTGAAGTCAGTCATCACCTGCTTCGTCAAATACTATGAGTTCCAGGCCATTACAACTTGGTATGATATTAAGTTCTTTTTCACAGCCCATTGAAGCTCCTTCCCCCACTCCCCTCCCCACCCCACCCTTGTGTCATTAGATAATGGAAAGGGTTTTTCATAGTCTTGTTGATAATATCGTAGCGATGTAAAACCGATCATTCTTCTTCAGGGATAGGAAATGAGTACAATCTGTTGAGTTTGCATCTTTCACAGTTATATGTCTCACATCTTTCTACAGATAGTGGGCTGCAGTCATTGTTGAAATATAGCAAACACAGCCATGAACTTGCACATAACCAACTTCCATAACCATCACTGCGACAATGACCAGACAATCTATTTTTTGTGGTGCTGACTGAGGGACAGCAGGGACAACTCCTTCGCTCCTCCTTAAAAAAAGTGACATAGGAGTTTGTATATCTGTCTGAGACAGCAAACAGGGCCATGGTTTAAAGTATCATCTGAAAGTTAGAACGTCTGACAGTGCAACATTCCCTCCAGTGCACCTGAGTGCCACATACAATAATACACCCTTGAAAACATGTTCCAGCTTCATATGCAGATTAGGTGCGAGTTCGTTAGGAAGGGAAAAAACATCAATGTTGTTGAGACTTTCATAGTTGTCTATATGGAATTATCATTCCTTATTGAGGTGTTCACATTTGGTGCAATTACTTCATTAAAATTGTGCCAAATATGGTCTATGAAATTTTACCAACTGATTTTAATACCTGAGACTTTCATGGACTAAAATGATTTTCATAAAGGAAGAAACACGGACCTAAAATTGCTGCAGTGATCACCTGACCACAAACTGAGACAAGCTTCCTAAAATCAATGCAAGTTAAACACAACTACCTGAATCAAAATTCACATATTTCAAGAGGCAGTGAGATTCAGATCTGTATCTCTTGGTTTAATTCACATTTGTCTAATAAGTTCACAAAGTAGCAAATGAAAGATTGCCTGAGTTTCCATGAAAACAATGAAGGCAGAGTCAGGAATACATAAATTAACCCTAATTTAGCCAATGCTTCTGAGTAGCGGTACAGAGAGAAAGAAAGAATGGATTCATAACCGGTGAAATGGAAGGTTTAGTCTCTCTTACACCCTAATCCCTCACCATCATCTGAGAAGACAGTGGTGGGTGAAAAAGCAAATTGGGAAAACAATCATTTACTTACAACTCAAAGTTGTAAACCTTTACCATGCTGAGGATATGAGTTAATAGTTTAACAACAGCGATCTCAGGTTGAAATTCTAACATCTCAAAGACTCTAAGGACTTTTAAACTGTACATATCAAACATACAACAGTACAGGCCCTTTGGCCACCATGTCTGTGCTTTATTCCCTGCCTGTTCATGTGTTATCCAAATGCATCTTAAACAATGCTAATGTATCTGCTTCTACCACCTCTGTTCACAATATGTTCCAGTGTAGCCTTCATTCTTCCTGTCTGTACCAGACTACTGTTTGTTTAAAATTTATTACCTGTGTTGGTGCACATATTTAATTTTACACTTTATCATTTTTGCCTTGGGGTTCATAGCTAATAAAATTCCTCTTTTACTGAAGGAAACTTTGTGATTGTCTTCTTCATTTTGATCTATGATGTGGAGGTGCCAAAAATCACACGACACCAGGTTATAGTACAACAGGCTTATTTGCAATCACAACCATCGATGTAGTAACTACATTTATAACTACATGATATCAAGAATGGTTAAGATCATACAGGTCACAGCAAAGACTGTATCTCAGCTGTAATATTGAAGACTAAAGCTCAAGAACCATCAGAGCCAAGCTGTTCCAGTATAGCTACAACACCGGCATCTACCCAAAAACTTGCAGAATTGCTCTGATACATTCTGTCCAAACTTTCACAAATTAATGGTTTCTGAAACACTTTACAGCGAATTAAGTGTTTTTGAAATGCAGCTAGATTTTGTAATTTAGGA